AATCTGGGATGTATTTTATACCCATGGCACATCTCAATTTGGATGTGGGAAAATTTTCATCAGAAATATGAGATCTCTAGATTTCATAAAACTTACAGTCAAGAAGGTAGAGTCACATACTCAAGTTGTTCCAAACACAATTAATAGTTTTTCATAATTGAAATGAGTATCCATTTTAACTTAAAATTAATTAAAATTAAAATTAAAAATTCATTTCCTCAACTGCACTAGCCCCATTTCAAGTGCTCATAAGCCACATGCGGCTAGTGGCTGCCATATCTGGACAGCACAACTCCAGACTCTTAACTGCTCTGCTCTTCTGCCTCTCTTTGCCAAGTTCTATCCACTTTTTTCTCAGACTATCTTTCATGTCTACTCTTTTTTACCCTTTCAATTCAACCCAGTTTTACCACCATTAAATTCTTATTCACTTTGTACTACCATAAGACCACGTTAATTACACTTCCACTGAGAATCTCATCTAACAGCTAACATGTGTTACTTGCTGTGCACCAAGAATTGGTGGAAGCACTTCATGAGTATTAACTCATGTAACTGTCATAACACAGTAATTTAGTGCCCTCTATTAATATTCCCATTTTAATGATGAAGAAATTGAGGTGTGAGGTGATTAAATAATTTTTCCAGTGTTATAGAGTTGCTGAATGCAGGAGCCGGAAAGTGAACCCGGCCCTCAGTGTTAACCAGACCCCACACCCTGTGCCATTATTCTGCCTCCCTCTCGCAAATATATACACAAGAAGGACAGCTTGAGGGACAGGATTATAGGTGACCATTACTATCTTCTTCTTATTTGCCTATATTTTCCAATTTTTCTGCACATGAAATGTGTCATTTTTGTTCATTTGAAATTTTTTTCTCAAAGATAAATCAGATAATTACCAGTCAGGTTCAGTTTTAGTGTATTCTTATCTTCAGAGAGAATAGACAAAGTGACTTTCTAAATGTGTTCAAATCTCAAGAATCTGTTATTCTTTAGCGCTCTCTGATATCAAACAAAAACAGTACATCTTGCTATCCTATAAGTACTTCATAATAAATTGAGAATTTTGATTTTCTCTCTTCACCAAATATGGCAGGATGTTTGAAATACCCAACCTTGGTGGTTCCCAACCACAGTAGTCTTTTAAATCTTCTACTTCTGGTGAACTATTTCCCGAAAGCCCAGGGGTCCTGAACATTTTCTAGATCCACCCATTTCCTGCTGCAGTTCAAGCCTTGAATAATGCATTAGAACCAAACACAGGCAGGAATATTGGACATACAGTGAAGCAGCACACCAGTGCCTCAGGACTTTTTCTGCCTAGACCAGGGGCTGATCCCAGGGAAGTCAGAACTCTGAAAGGCCATCACTGCTCCTGAAACTGTTCTTTCTGCATCTTGGGTAGGAGCACCCTCCCACTCCCACTCTACAATCCTGACAGAAATCCCTGCCTTGCCCCTCACCAACCCTCTACACTTTGAAACAGTTGCCAGGTTCTCTAACCTCTACCTTCAGCACTCTTTTCATATCTATGCCTTTCAATTTATCCCACCACCACCTCAGTGCAGCCTTTTTGTTACCCTCCTCCCTGACCTTAATAAAATCTTTACTCCCATCTCTACTGTCACCTCTTGGCCTACCTCAACCATGTTTACTTTATATTCATGCTAATCCACTCTAGCAGGCTGCTATCTCTGCCAGAAATCCCTCCAGGATTCTCCACTTAGTTTCTAATTTTTCAACCTTGATTTCTATTACACCCCACAGCTATTTCATATGCCAGGTTGGCAATCCTCTACTGCACCCCACTCCACATTTCAGCCACCTGGTCTACTTGGAATCCCAGGATCTTCCCTTAGACTCCTCCCTGCATCTAGAGAGCACCTTTCCTCCATCTCTGCCCATTGAAATTCTACTGATGATTCCAGAAGTAGGTCCAGTGCCAACTGTTCAAAATGTTTTCTTCTTTTCCTATCAACATCTACATTGCCACTTCTGCATTGTTTACCACAAGTTAACTTATGTCATCATGCATACGTCATTATTTCTGTACTTATCTTTTCTGCCTACAAATATTAAGCACCTATGACATGTCAAGCGTATATACTAAGCACTTTATATGTGTTATCTAATTTAGTTTAATCCTTAAATTGCCCTGTGACAAAGTATTACTATCTCCATTTTATAGATCAGGAATTTGAGGCTGTCAGAAGTTAATTAACTTGCTCAAAGTAGTATCCTTACTAAGTGGCAGAATCATCACTCATTCAGATTATTTTATTACAATCTGTATGCCAGGTTCCTAAACCCTATGGATTTTTCAATATAGATTGGGAATTCCCTTTGGGGGCAATTAGCACTAGAACCTCAGGACAAGGCAGATATGTTGAAGGCCTTTTTTGGTCCTATCTCATTTGATTGAGATTCACTGTGCTATAGGAAATGCTCCTTTGGCTCTCAGTCAGCACTTGGCCTGGGTAGCACAGGGCTGAAGAAATGATTCATGAAGACAAACACCATACAGGATTGTTTAGTTCCACCGGTGCCCTCTGATTACCGTAAAACCGAAAGGAACGCCAAGCCCTGGCACAAGGTTGGCAATCTAGAATTCCCTGTGCTTGGCCACATCAGGTTAGGCCTCATGCTAAACCTTTCTGTTTCCTGATTAGATCCAGAGGGAAGCCTCAGACTTCAGAAATGAGGCCTGGAACAGCGATGTTGCCTCTAGGGTAGGCCTTGGCCTGATAAGAGTCCCTGCCATTAATATCCAATGTAAACTTTCAAGAAATTCATATGAAGATAAAGAACGGAGAAGGGCTAGTCTACTCTGAATTCGTTTTTCACCAACTAGGAAGCCCCCAAACTTGTTGGGTCAGTTCATATAGCCAAATGCAAAATATTATAATAGTGGGTTTGTTCTTTTCCTTATTGTTTTGGAGTCAAGGTTGTACAGCAGCCACTGTTTGCTCAAGGAAAATGTAAACAGGATTTGCTGACGCCTGTGGCCAATGAGCGTGACTCCTAAGTCACTTTCACTCTGGTGTGGGGTGTGGATCTACTAGTAAAGAAGCTGAACGGGAAAGGGGGTTAGGTAACTCTAATTTGTGTCTTGATATTTTCTCTTTCAATCCTCAAAGTGATACTTTCTGTGGTAGGTGTTATTAAAAATCCCGTTCTGTGGATCCCAAAACTGGGTGGTAAGTAAAAGGCAGGGAAGGGAACCCTGGTGTGTCGAGTACCACAGCTTCCCACTTTCCTGAGCCCTAAGCTCCTGCTCTGTGGCAAGACCTTTTGCTTAGGCAAATGTTAGATGATTTAAAAGAAATTCAGGCAAAATCTGTACACAAGCCAGAGTTCTCAAATACCAATATTCTATCTTCCCTCCAAACCAAGATGATCTGAAGTGTTTATTTCTAAAATGTCTCACATTTTCCATAGTTAACAAAGATCTCAACAGGTAGTAGTAGTTGAACTATAAGATTCTTACCTTCCTTCCACTCAGGAGACTCCCATGTTGGATTCTTAGGCCAGTGGGCTGGCTTGAACTGGTTATCTCAGTTGGTTAAACTACAGGCCACCAAGACCAGTAGGCCACAGTCTCTGACAAAACCACCCTGTTCCCAGCCATCTTTAAAACGAGTCATAGAGTGGCTGAGTGGAAATATAGATGGCCCAGGGCAGGTGGTCACTGGGTCTGATGAAACTTACCAAAGGTCACACAGAATGGGGTCACTTGTGTCATACCCATGAATGAAGTCAAATATCTTTATTCACACACAAATTATCTGCTTCCTCTCTCACTTATTCATGACCTATGTTTAACATTCTAATGGTTAAAACACCTTCTTAATATATTTCCATATGGGATGGGGCAGTTGCTAATAATCAGTTAAAACTGACAATGCATAAAAAATATTTCAACCTCTCAAAACATTAGCCAAGAATGGCATTTGAAATTGTGTTTACAGGGCTAGACTCTATGTATTAGAAAGCCTTTCACATTTCACAGAGATAACAGAACAACTTTTATTTGGCCTTCCCCATGCTTCTGTAAATATTTTGTTGCTGCCTCTGCCATATGGTTAAAAAAGAAGTTACTCAGAGGACAACCAAATATTGTTATTTCAATACTATTCAAACTACTGAATTCTGTTACTCTTTAATACCTTTTTATGTTCCTCCCAAAAGAATCTTTGAAAGGCTTTTATGGTTGGAAGACATTCACTGCCTATCATCCGAATCATATTGGCAACATTTTAGAAACACCTTGAAAAAGTCTTAGGGCATATGTCAGCAGAAGTCCAGAGAAGGAAAGTAGAAATTGGTGGAAAGTGAGATATTACAGAACTCCAAGTCTGGTCAAGATGGGCAGTGTACTGTCAGGTACACTGAACAAAGTGCACCGAGGGAGGCAAAGTTATAAAAGAGGGTTCATGGTTAGCAGCCAGCAAAGTAACTGGGTGTTTAATACCGAGGGGACAGAGAGGTGATGGATACTTCAGTCCCGCTCGCACATCTCCCAACTTGAAACACCTTTTTTGAAGCCATGATAAAGCCATAAGGATTTGCACTTCGCTCCACTATTTGCCTCTCGCCGTCCTAACTCCTTTCTGATCCCGCTACTCCCCTTTCCCACTTTCTATTTTGCCCCTTTGTACATAATCTTTTGTTTGCAACCACTTTTAAGGTAATTTCATCCCAGCTGGAAAACAACCTATGTCCTGAGCCCAGGAACCCAGATCCCTCCTCGGCTCCTTGCAGCTGGGACCTTTCCCCCTGCACTCAGCACCCCAAGCTGTGAGGATGATCTATTTCGCGGGTCCTCCGGCGGGCTGGCCTCTCCATTACGCCAGTCTGCTCCTCTTCCCTCCCCTGGATGCCTCATCCCCAGAGAAGCCTAAACTCCGTGTCCTCGGAAACTGCCTAGGTGCCCTTGGTCTCCGCTGGGATCCAAGATTTTTGGTCCAAAGTGGGGTCAGGTCGGGGAGGACAGTACCTCTTTGCAGGCGTGAAGCTCCGGTCCCGCTCCCTGGGTCACCTGGAAGGCGGTCCCAACCCAGAGCAGCAGCCGCAGAAGCCGGAGTGTGCGCTGCTCAGTCCCTCCCCTGCCTCCGGCAGCGGGATGGAGGCTGCGCCCAGGCTCAGCCATAACGTTGTCCTGAGCGAGCGGCGGCAGCGGTTCAGGTGCTGCGGCGGCTTCTACTGCTGGCAGAAGACGGAAAAAAGGGGGAGGGAGGTTCACTGGGGGAGGATGCAAGGGGCTGGGCTCGCTTCAGTCACCTCCCTGCGGCTACTCCAAGGCCGCCCATCCTTCCTCCTCCTTCCTTACTCTCCTCCTCCTACCCACGTCGCCTTGGCAACCGCCTCCTCTTTCGCTCCTGGTGGGTGGGGCAGGGACCACGCGCTCCTCTGCCGCTCACCTGCCAGTCGCCATGGCAGCCGCCGCCCTGGCGCGCGCGGCGTGGGAGTGCGCGCGCCCGTGGCCTGCAACCGGCGCAGCAGGCAGGCACATGCAAAGAACGCGGTAGAAACATCCTCCAAGCCATTGCCACCAAGTTCGTATTTTCCAGTGCCCTTTCGGGCCATGGGTCGTTTATGAGCATCTCTAATTTTGCAGACATGGCGTTCGACAAACATTTATTAAGCACCTCCTATGTGTGAAGCGATAGAAAGAGGATTGAGACGCCATCTCTGCTCTAGAAGTTACATCCTAAAAGAGGGGCCCTGGTGGGTGTCATCTACTGCAACAGCCGCTTCTGGAGATCTGCTTCCATCCTGCCAAATCCATCCGTGACTTTGTAACTAGCTACATGAAAAGCCTTCGGACTCGTCTAGTTAAGCCGAATTAAGCAAGGGTAGTTTGCCTTAGCCTGCACATTTTCAAGCATGACACGTGGGCTATTCCGTCTCTTGACACCCCTATTCTTCTCATTGCTTTGAAAAATCCTTTTGTTAAATGCGAAGGAGAAGAACACTTCTTGGTCATCTTTTAGGACTTATTTCCTCAACCGAAGTTTTTTGTATTAGTCCTGCACGCCGAGAGGCCGGCATTTTTCCACTGTTTTAGGAGTGCAAATCCAGTTCTTGGAAAGCTCAGGGCGCTCTCCCTCTGTGCTCCCAGTAGCTTCCTCCCGGGCGCCTCCCTTCTTGGACCGCCAGGTGGCGCCCTTCTCGAAGGTAACTCACCTCAGTCCCAGAGGGTCGGGCAGTTGCTTGGCAACCGCTACTGGGATTTCCTAACAATTGTGACCCGGGTCCTCCGCGTGCAAAATTGTGTGCGTCAGTGCGGGCCTTCCACCTCTCGTAAGAGCGTTTCGCTCGGCTTTTTAGTATGCCTCCCATGGAAGACCCTTTCCAGCCCCCGAAGTTGGATAACGATGGTTCCTACTTGGGAAAACTGCAGGTTTCCAAGGTACTGTGGGTTTTTTGCGCAGATTCCCAGCAGGGTCAACTGCAGTTTTCTTTCTGTCGACTTGACAGGCATAGATGGTAACTTAAAGGACTCTAGTGAGGACGGTCAGGTACAGAGACGTCCGTCTCAGCCTGCCTCCATGACCGCATATTCAGGCCAGCTAGAGTTTCAGGGATGCTTTTGAACAGAGGGAAGTAGAGCTCTTGTCCAAAGGTGCTCTGCCCAAAGCACTGATCGTATAATGGAGCTTAAACAGGCCCAGGTTCCCCCAAGCCACCCCTTGTCCTGTTGGACAGCTGTTCTGTAAGGAGATGCAAGACATGGAATGGGAACAATCCTCTGAAAGCCACCGGGTCAAACTTTTTACATCTGTCCTCACAACTTCTCTGCCATCTGATTGATGCTGAAATGTGTATGGTGTGTGTCAGGAATTTGGGAATTTAGATGATCTTTTTCTGGTAGAAGTGTTTGGGATTTTTGAAATGGTGCAAAATAAGGTGAATTAAATAGTAATTGTGGCTTAATAACAAAATCAAAGAGCTTCCTTTTGTTTATTCAGCATTTATTATTTACTGCTTGCCAGGTACTCTGCTAAACACTGAGGTATAATATACAGATAAATTAGATATAGCTCCTGCACTAAAGGAACTTTAGTAGAAAAGCTGGACTGACAATAGCAACAGCAAAAATACTTGCAAAATAACACGAGTGCTGTGACAGGAGAACTGAGAGCTTAAAGGAAAGCTTCTCAAAGCAGGCCAGTTTTGACATCCAAATATTACCTGGGCTGGGTGAGAGAGAAGGTGGAATGTGAGTTCAGAAGAAGGAAACAGGAACCTGACGTTCACAACAAAGGAAGCGGCAGGTGCACATACACAGAAAGGAGAGAATGGGTGATTTTGGCCCGTTTTGGGCTAAAGAGGTCAGAATGGCTGGAGCATCAGCGTGAGATGGAGGAGTGGAGAGAGTGGAGACCTTGTTAGCTGGGTGTGCTGTGTATACCATGGCAGTGAGCTAGGATGTCACCCTGGAGGTGCAGGGGAAGCACATCAGGATTTTAAGCACTGGAGTGATACACTAGCTGGGTGTTTTAGAAAGCATAAATGGCAGTGAATTGGACAGGATGGGAATAGAGCAAGAAGTATCAGCTAAGAGGCAGTACTCTCCAGGGCAATAATGGGGCAAAGGCAGTGATGCTAGTAATGGAGGTAAGTTGTAGATGTGGGAAAGGGAAAAAAGGCAGAACTGATGGGACTTTTTGGCTGGCTGACTGCACGTGGGCCCAAGAACGGGCATAGGTCTAGATAACTCCTAAGTTTCTGAGGGCTTAAGTGACACCACCTATTAAGGCATCCAGAGGAAGCAGGGCTGGGGAGAAAGATGATCAGATCGATTATATAGACTGTGGTGCCTGTGGGACATTTAAGTGGTGATGAATAGCAAGCAACCTGGTTGAGAGTTCTGAGCTGAAGATGTGTATCTGGAAGCCACAGGATTCATTTGGTTGTTGAAGCTACAGGAGGGCATGAGCTCATGCAGCAAATGGAAGAAAAGCAGAAAAGAATCCCCTGGAGAATACCATAGTCTAAGGGAGAGAGAGAGCAGGGCTGAGAAGGGAGCTGAGAAGCAGTAGCTAGAGGCAGGAGGAAAACCCAGGAGGGGCTGGACCTACAGAAGATGGAGAGAACGTTCAGGGGAATCAGGATCATGGTGCCAGAAACTGCAGAAGTCAAAGAAGACCAGGTTTGGAAAGGATCCACCTGACCTGGACACAAAGATCATTGGTCACCAGCAAGAGCAGTTTCAGTGAGTGGTTGAGGCAGACACCTGACTGCAGTGGGCTGAAGAGGGATGGCAATGGGGAAGAAGTGGAAATAGCTAATCCTGACTCTTCTTTTTTAAGTGAAGTATTGTTTCTATACAATCTTATGTTGGTTGCAAACATACAACACAGTGGTTCAACAATTACCTACATTATTAAATTCTCATGCCCAGTAGTGCAGTTACTGTCAATACAGGAAGATGTTACAGAATCATTGACTATATATATTCTTTATGCTGTACTACCATCCCTGTGACCAACTGATATTATGATTGAAAATTTTTGTGGCCCTTTATCCCTCTCACACTCCTCATCCACTCCCCCCAACCCCTTCCCCCATGGTAACCACTAGTTCCTTCTCTGTGTCTATCAGTCTGCTGCTGTTCTTGTCATTCTGTTTTGCTTTGTTTTCATATTTCACAAATAAGTGAAATCGTATGGTATTTGTCTTTCTCTTCCTGGCTTATTTCACTGAGCATAATACCATCTAGGTCCATCCATGTCGTTGCAAATGGCAGGATGTTTTTCTTACAGATGAATATTATTCCATTCTGTATGTGTACCACATCTTCTTTTTTCATTTAGCTATTGATGGGCACTTAGGTTGCTTCCGTGTCTTGGCTATTGTAAATAATGTGGCGATAAACATAAGGGTGATAAACATCAAAGATTTTGTTTTCTTTGGGTAAATTCCTAGAAGTGAAATTACTGGGTCAAATGGTATTTCTATTTTTAGTTTTTTGAGGAACCTCTATACTGCTTTCCACAGTGGTTGTACCAATTTAAATTCTCACCAACAGTGTAGGAGGGTTCCCTTTTCTCCACATCCTCACCAACACTTTTTATTTCTTGTCTTTTGAATAGTGGCCATTCTAACTGGAGGTGATACCGCATTGTGGTTTTGATTTACATTTCCCTGATGAAACTAATGATGACTCTTAAGGAAGTCTGGTTCTGTAGGGAAAGTGATAGAGTGGTAGCTAGACAGTGATAAAGGAACGAGGAGGGAAGCTGGGTACAGGGGTTGATAGGATGGTGCAAGGGGAAGGGCTGGATTCAGGGAAGAGAGTTATTCCTGAGTAAAAGGGACTTTCCTTTCCAAAATGGAAGGAAGGTGTATGTGAAGATGTCATGCATCTTGACATTCTCAATGAAAGACAATCTCATCCTGTGATAGAGATGATGAGGCTTATGTGGCATTCAAGAAATGCGAGGAGGAGAGCTGCCACTGTGTGCATCATATATATTTGTAGTTTTGTTTCACTTTTCATCTTTCTTGGTGATAGCAGAGTGCCTGAGACGTACCATTTAATTAATGTCTACTTGATCTGAGTTGCACAGTAGTTTACCATATATAGCAGGGGAAGAGGGTTCCAACATCAGATACTGGAGTTGTGCTCACTGGAATTCAGTGACTCATTTAACCAATATTTCATTTTTGAACATCGTTAAGTCACCTTGCTAGGTACTAGGGCTACATATGGCATTTTACATGTAATGAAGAAATCAGTTACGAGCTTTTCAGTCATTTATTTATGGAATTTTATTTTAGATTGAATGTCCAATGGACTTTTTCTTCGACCTTCCTGCAGACACAATGACCCTTCCCTGCTTATCAGAATTTTTGCTTCTACTTAGACACTGCACTCTCCTGATTTTTCTGTCTGCTTGCCTCATAGTGTCCTTCTCTTCCCCGCCCCTTCCCAGGTTATGCTATTATGCAATCATGAGCTACTTCTTCCCTTTTGGCCACATTCCTATTTGCAGGCTTCAGCTTCTACTTCATGTGGACAACCTCCAGATCTCTATTACTTGTCCTGAGCTCTCCTCCAGCAAGTTGCACACTTCCAATTTTCTACCTGTTAACTTCATGGGGATGTCTTACCTTTTCTTCAAACTCAAGACATCCAAATCTGAGCTCACCATTATGCCTATCTTCTCCCCATCCTTTTCCCCCTGCCCCACCTGCCCCCTTCCCTATATTTCTGGCCCATTTCTGTCAGTTCTAAGATCGAAAACTTAGGAGGATCAAAAGCCTGGGAGTCTTGCCGCTTATCATTCTCTTCTCATGTGTCCCTCTGAGATTCAATTAAAATAGGATGGAATAAGGGGAGGGAGTCACTGAAGCCACCGCAACAGCAAGGCCTCCTGTAACCAGGTCCTGGGTGTGGTTTCTCTTTTGCAGAAAGTGCCATATAAGAACCCAACTCACCTTGCTCAGCAACAGGAACCCTGGAATCGGCTCAGCTCAACTCCCACGATTACCTCCATGAGGCAGGATGTTTATTTTTTTGATCCTCAGGTACCTAGCACTAAAATGCTACTTCTCTTTACATCCACTTAAGACTCAATATCATTTTTGAAAGCTAGTCTGTCCCTGACTGCTTCAGCATCTTTATTTTGTCCCAATCCAAATTCTACCAAATACCAACCTATCTGGCCTCTGGGAAGTCAGGCGGTTGGGGTTTGCTCTAGCTGGTTATCTGGAGCATATCGTTTTCTCACCAGACTTTGCATTTTTCTGACTGTAACCATGAATGAGGTGAGGCCTATTAAGCCTAAGCAAAGGACGTAAAGTAATTCCCACCTCCACTGAGTGTTCACCATTCCTTAGACCTGATCGTAGGAGACACAATTCTATATTGACAAGAGCTAAGCCATCATGTACAACAATTTGGTATGTAAGGAGTTGGTGGATCTCAAACCCAAAAGGGGTTCAGTCCACTCTTGGGGAAGAGTAGAGCTCAGCAGAATCTGACTAGATCTGGGGACAGAGGTAGCAGGTTAACCCTGGGATGGGCTGACTTTCTCTGTAGATACCAAAGGATGACCTGGATTTCCGCTTAGCAGCCTTGTACAACCACCATACAGAGACATTCAAGAACAAAAGTGAGATATTGATACAGCAGGAGACCACCCAGGATATCCATGGGTAAGTGGTAGATGTGGAGTCTCTCCACCCTAAGGACAATGCCATCCAATCATGTAAGGTAGTGTCACCTGGGAAATAACAAAGGAAATAGGTACTCATTTGTATACAATTTCTATTTTACATTTTTATGTGTAATGTAATTTCTGTATATTTATTACCAAGATTGTGCTCATTTGTATAAACAAAATCTGTTCCACAGAGGGTAAAAATAGCCTTTGGCTGCTTTATTTTTGAGGTTGCATGCAACTATCCCTCCTCACTTTTCTCCTCCTTATTTCACTCTCCCCTGTTCTTCCCTACCCTGTTTTCTAAGAATCAACAAGATCCAATTCCCTGGAGAATTTTTAGCCCCTCCTCCACCACCACCCATCACTTCCCAAGCTAACATCAGACAGTGGATCAACCCTAAGAAGGAGTCTATCCACAGCATCCAGGGATCCATAGGTAAGGGTTAGAAGAATGAGTGGGCAAATGAGTGCTATTAGAGTTCTTAATGGACCCAGAAGTCAGGGAGTTGAAGTGACTGGGCATTAGGGAACTTCAGGGAATGCTGAGGCTCTTGGAACAGCAGTGATTAAGTTGGCACACATCAGACTAATACCAAGGGACATGATAACTATAGAACTAATAAATGAATCCAATAACTTTCAGAGCCTCTAAGTCAGCCTTTGGTCTAAGGGGCAAAATTTCCTGCAAAGGGCAACCTAGGAGTGGAAGACCTATAGCCTCCTCCCATCAGTCCTGTATATCAGTTTCCCGAAATGTTACAAGAATCTTCTTATATTAGCCATAAATGGATGGATGATTACAGGTTCCCAGAAAAGGCAAAGGATCTGAAATTCACAGCCCACTCCCTCTTTTCTCCACAGTGTCCCCTCACACTGGAGCCACCAATGGAGGCTATTCCCGAAAAAACGACGGTGGCTTCTTCTCCACCTAATGTTGACATTAGGCCCTGGACTAATTCATCATAGTGGAACATGCTGTCACCCACCTCCACTGAACAGATTTGTGAAAGATGAAGTCTGAAGTGTCTATTACCCATGGACTGAGTTGCCATTTGCCTACTCTTAAAATATGGGAGGAAAGTTTCCCTACTTACAGAAACTAGTCCTCTTTGGCATTATTTTCAACTTTCAAGTTATCTTGCTAAAAAGGATTTAGGACAGAACAGCATTTTTGGCAGGAGACATATTTCATAAACTACAGTCATTCCAACCATATAGATACAGCCATTCGACATTTCTTGCGACAGGCACTAAGTGTTGGTGAAACAAGAATATCTTAAAAAGCATACATTGTGGTTTTAGTAGCTCTATGCAGCATTAATATTTATTCTGAGGTCACAATTAACAGATTTCAGACCTGGATTTGGTCATTTGCTAGGGCTCTATCATCCTGATACTGGCTCCTTTCTGTTGTTCATTCTCTAACTCTGCTACTGTCTCCTTGCCTGGGAGTCAACTTCCCTTTTCTCTATGTCATTTTGTGCTGTGAAATATAGTCCCTGATGTTATAAACATGGCTCAACAGTCTGGTGCTGGGGTTTGAAGGTATCTAAAAATGGACACATGCATGTTGTTTTTACAATTATTAAGTTATTCATAGGAACCTGTTAGGGCAAGAAATGGCAGACCTACAATTTATTTATTATACAATAAATTTCCATTTCTAAGCTTAGCATATGCATTGTTGAATAATTCAGATATGAAAACGCTTTTTCCTGTACTTATATGCAGTGTTCTTAAATACCACCAAACTGTCACAGCCCCTCTTCCATGGTGATACTCCAATCTCTTAAGATAGTACCTGCTGCCAAGTGAAGTTTCAGTTCACTTTATTTAGAATGGCTGAAAGTGGCAAGAAAGGTGACTGGATAATCACCTTATCTGATTAATCTGACACTTAACAAAAAAATTATTGCTGTAATCCGTGCATACAGGCTTTGAAAAATATCGATTCCTTTTCTGGTAATTCTAATTCAGTAAATCTGGGGCTGGTCCCTGGAATCTCAATTCTTGTTAGCCCTCCAAGTGCTTATGGATATATACACACATACAGACATGCATATAGACCTCTAATTCGGTGGCGGACTGTACAGTGCCTTTAGGCCAGGGGGCACCCGTGTTAGTAGATACCATACTAAAATTCATGACAAGGATCCCATTTGCTTCCAGCTCCCGCGGGAGGGGCGACAGCTCATTCACCCTCCGCCTTCGTTCCTCAGCGCGCTGGGCGGCGGTACCCTGGGGCCGGGCTCAGATCAGAATCGCCTCGATAATCAGTGGCTCAGGACAACCCCGGCCTCGTCTATCTGATCAATTCATCACTTCTGAGCGCCGGGCCCCATCGGACCGGTTTCGGGACCTCCGGGACCGCGGCGTTGCCGCCGCCCAAGGGGCCTTGCTGCACAGCGCCCCGAAGAGGAGGCTTCGCAGAAGGGGAGCTTTTCATTTCGGGTCGGCCCGGCGGGGTTGGGATCACAACCCGATCAAATAAGATCAAGGTGTAGGCGAGGGAAGGGCACAGGGGTGCGCACATGCACTCGCCTTGCACGCCCCACGCACGCACACATTCACTCGTCAGTTCACACACTCAAGCCTGCACGCGCCCTCCACGCACACCACGCACCAATACCAAACAGACCCCGAGCCGATCTCCCTCCGATAGAGGCGGAAGTCCGCACCCTCTTTTAAACCCCTCCGGCTCCTCCCCTGCCTCAGAGGATTCTGGGAGGAACCATAGAGCACAGGCCCTCAGCGAGTACGCCCTTTGCTGCCCTCGCGTGGCTCGGAGGGGAACCTAGGTTCCGTAAATCGTGGCTGTCTTCTGAGCTTTGCGCGCCTACGTATGTATATTCATAACTACAGTTTTATTTGATCTTTGATTCAAATTCTGGATACAGGATGATTCAATCTCAGGAGAATGACTCCTTTCCCATGAAGAAGGCAAAACCTGTTCATTATCAGCATCAGCTTCCCCAGGAGCTCCTTCTCCCATGGGAGAGGGCAAACTTTTTACCAAACGGAAAGGTGAGAGATTTTAAGTCCAAGGAATAGGTAGTCAGGATACCTGAAATGAGTAAAAGTAGGAAGGCGCACCCCTGTCTTCACTTACAGAGCCCTCTTCCTACCCACTACTCGATGCTATGGCAGTCACATTGCTAAACCTTCATTTACTTTCATATCCATTAAAACATATTTGACTTTCAAACTCATGACTAGAGAGAAAAATAATTGTGATTATATGAGAATAAGTTCCTTTCACATCCAAGAGGACAATTTTAACATCTTTATTCCTTCTTTTTCAATAATATAGGTATGTGGTAGGGGGGAGTTAAATCAGAAGAATTTTGTGAAGTTATTTGGACTTGCATCAGACCACCATGCATTTGGAATAAGCAAATGGGGGAAAGTACCCATCGTATGTACCACAATACTATTAGCTCAAGGATTTTCTAGGTGTGTGGCTGATTAACCTGATAACCTCCTTTGAATGAAGAAGTTTATGGTTGGTGATGGCAGATGACACTTGTACTTTAATAGCACTAGTAGGTAAAATGTATTGGAGAGTTGTTACCTACTTTAAGACACCTCAAAATTTATTTGTATATAAATCAAAAGAAATGATGGTATTTACTACTGTAAACTAAAAAGGCATACTATGGACAGAACCCAGGGGAAATATTGAACAAAGTTCAATAAATTCAGCATGTGACAAATAAAATGCGCAAAGACAGTAGTAGGGAAAGGAATTTTATTTTCAAGGATTTGTGCAGACAATGGTGAATAAAAAATTGTATTTCAACTATAAAAAGCTGACTCCATTCCATCCTAGCATACAGGGTTTATGATGATGCCAGTATGAATCTGAGGCAATATTGCTATCCCCATTCTTCCATCCCTAAAAGACTCCCTTAAAGGAATAACTTCCTACAATTTTTCAGTCAAAAATATATGACACATCAACCAAAGTAATGAGTTAAACAGGTTTCTGCTTATCTGCTTACATAAAGTCAAGAAATGAAATAAGCTGTGTATTTGTTCCTTCCTATCAATTACCTTCATTCTGTGCACTTTTTGGTACATTCTGGTATGAAAACATCTCAAAATATAACAATGCAAGAGTTTAGGTCAAGATGACCCACCCAGTAGACTGTAAAAATTGTTGTGAACTAGAACTGTGAAATGGAACTAGTTTAAAATATGAAGCAGCTCTAAGCACCAAGCTTAGAGGCATTAGCCCTATTAGAAAACAAAAGTCATTAAAGCTACAAAACAAGTGCAAAACATGCTGAACCTGTATTTCCAGGGAGTAACATTCCCATTGGCCAACAGGTCCCAAACTGACACCCACAAGGTGTAACTCTTCTTTCCTGTTCTAGATTTCTTTCTCTCCTGTGAGAGATCCTCAAAAATGACAATGGAAAACAAATGAGTCATTAAAGTTTACCCTATGGACCAATTCCTGAAGAGGTAACAGCCACAACTCTGAGATGATTAGACATGTAGTGTTTACCTGATGACTCTCTATAATTCTAGAAACCCTCAAAGCACTGAACTGCTTATTTCAGAACCTAAACTTCCTAGCAGCTTTAGTTTTTTTTTGGAGTAAGACAAAAGCAATTTACTGCCACACAGAGGTCAACCACAGCTAACTTGTCCACTGTTAAGTCTTACTTTAATGGACAATTCAACTGGTAGATCTATGTCTATGCTTTTTACAATAATTTCATTTTAGACCAACTCTTATATTTTATAAGAGAAGTTCAAGGCTTCATAAATACAGTAGTTGATCCTTCTGCAGATATAAAGAAGAGGAAATGGGGAAGTCTTCCCATCAAATATTGAGTCATCTAAAATGATTTCCTCAGGACTTACCATACTCCATGGAAAAGCCCATCAATCTCAACTGCAAACCTCTGTTTCCTTTCTTTAGAAAACACCTTCAGTTTATTCATGGATTCTATCAACTGCCCAGACATGCCTATGAATATCAGCAACTTCTCACACTCGTTCGAATTTCTCGTGTTCTTATAATAGATAGAACTTCCAAGAGTACTTAAAAAGTACTGCAAAATGAAGATAATTAAGAGTTGGCCAAGAAAAACAATCAACTAAAAACTGCCATAACAACCCAGATTTAAACAAAGAGTAACTTTGTATCTTGGATAACAAAATTTCCATCTAACATCACAATAAATTCTTATACTAGACGACCTTACTAGTATATGAATTAACATACTGTTTATTTCTTCTACCCTAACTGTAAATATATTAAACAATTATTTCTTCAGTACTTCCTCTTTCCCCTAATGATGACATTTAAAACTGAGTAACATTACTTCTTACTCAGTAATTTAGAAAATACAAAAAAAGCTTTAGGAAAATAGCAACAGTGGATTCATTTTCCATATACCATTCAATGGGGTGAAATCTCCTTTTGGGGATACTGGTGAACAAAACATTTTTTTCTTGTCAAAATATTGTGCTTTCTGGCCTCATCACAGATAGATAATTCCCAAGTCTTACATAGGCACAGATTCTCTTGGCAAAACTCTCAAGTTACCAGTGCATAGCTATTTCATCTGTTGTCTTTGCAATGAGGACCATGCCTCTCTCTTATGTTCCCAAATGGATGTATGAAAGATAAATCTCCAATGCCAAATTATTTCTTGGCATTGTATAATCCTGTTTCCCACCCAACTCCCCACTCCCCCTCAATATGCCAAATCCTAATCAAACAGAAAAAAAATCAAGTCTTGAAAATCATCTCTCCTTCCAAGAGGTTTGAACATAGTCTATGTCTTTCCCTAATGAGCCTCAGTTTTGAAAAGATCCTGATGAGGGGCTGAAGAACAGAACAGGTGACAGGCTTTTTCAGCAGGAGGTGTGTAATCTTATCACTGAGGAGTGTAATTTCTCTGGACATTATACGCTCTCTGCTGAGGATTAATTTCCACACAGACCAAAGGAAGTTGGCTCTGGAGTCCTCTGAAGCATAAATGTTTGTACTGTGAGTAAATTTCCCACATACAGTAGGGGCAGATGCTGTGGTGTCATCCTGGGGATGTGGATGACTTTAGCTGAATTCTCCTACGCTGGGCCCAGGCCCCCTACAGGCTCTTCACCCTCGTCCCCTGGGCTGAAAGTTGATGAGATGGATGCTTTGGAATTCATTTTATAAACAGGACATAAAAGGCCATTACAACGCAGGCGATTGCCACAGCAGCGTGCAGTCTGGTTCCAATCACAGCAGCTAGCAGGCAAAAGTAAAAAGAAAAGACATCACACTCTGCCCTTCACATAAGTCCTCATTTTCAAGGTAATATTTTGAACTCTCCAGTCATGATGAAGAGACCTACCAAGGGTCTCAAGAGCCCAGCTGGGTATGTACTTAAACACTACTTAGCCTCTAGGCTTCAAGTGAATATGCTGCCTGTTTATATTTTGCCCTATTTTGAAAAATATTAGATGGGTAGGATTCTAGATGAAGGTGCCCAAAATAAAAAGTAAAGAAGCATCTCAGTTAATGAAATCAAAACTTAAAAGAGACTCCAATATATTCTTTCCACAGTTTCAGTAAAACTTTTCACTGGGAAAATTTTCCTCTCAACAATTCCAATCCAGTCTAATATTGTTTATATACTTTTCTCCCATGGAAAATACCCTGATATTAAAGTAAACAATTCTGTAAAAGTGGAACCAAAATCAATCTCAGCCTATTCCACTTCTGACTTTGTAGCACCTAAATGTCCAAAGATGCCAATCTCCTCTCCCTGTCTGGATATAATCTTACCTTTGTAAAACACACCCCAAACTCCCTTTTTCTCTGATAGCAGCCAGGTTTTGAGACGAGGTACTTTCTTGAAGTAGGCACAGGTGCAGACAAAGAGCAAACCAAACACCAGAATCCCATCCAAGGAGTACACTGTTACAGGAAGAAAAGAAAACCTTTGGTGTTAATCTAGCCTGGGACAGGTGATCACACTTGAGAATTTCAAGGTGAACAGAATGTGATACAGTATTAAGATAACTTCAACTGTCCTGTTGTCAACCCTTGGCAAGTCATGGTCCTGAGACCAACAAGCTTGCCTTCTTGTTTCCCCAAATTGCTTGTAGACATTCCCCCTTACAATTTTACTGAGCCTTTCCCTCCCCTTTCAAGAATTACAAATCCTAAGAACAGTACATCAGTTTATGTGGGTTTAGCCTCTCAGGAATGGCCAATGTTGGCAACAGGTTGAGACAGGCCTAAGAATCGTTGGCGTATGAGCAGAGATTTTTATTATAAATCACTTGTGTGATAAAGGAGAGCTAGATATTTAGCCAAATCTCACAGATCTGCATCTGTTGGTGAAGAGTACGTTCAGGCAAGAAGTAAAGCTTTATGGAAATTGCAAGAGTTGGAATCCATATGACTACAGCTTTCCTGTGTTTATCTTACACTTCATGCATGATTACGCACAAACCAAATTTCTGGCACAATAACAACAGATTCTTGAAGGGAAAAAATTATCTGAGTTTTCAATATAGTACAACAGTTGTGGGTAAAAAACTTTGAACAATCAGGTCTATTTCTTACATATGTAAACCAAGCTATTTCTTGTACAGGTAAGTACAATGAATCACTTAAATGCAACAAAAAGAAAGCAGACCACAAAAGGAGGGAGGGTGACTAAAATTTATCCAGTAATTATTGCCAGACTGCTTTTTATTTCCTGGTTCCGACCTTTTCTTTCTTTGCATGATGTCCCTTCTGGTACTGTGCCTAATAAGCTCGGACCTCTGATGGCCCAGGAAGCTCCAAAAGTATATTTTAGATAATCAGCATCTACCTGTTCTGGACCACTCTGTCACCCTCTCCCTGCCTCTAGTAAAACTCTCTCACAGCTAGGTGTCACATAAAGGATCCAATAAATTAATAATACAGACACCAAGTTTTTATGATGAACCATCCCTTTATGTGAGTCTTTTTCTCCCATAAGTTTTTGCAGACAATGCCAAAATTTAGAGGCGAAATTTGAGTCTTCAGTGCCATGTTTATGGAGGTGTTTTTGAGAAATACTTTCGTGTACCCCTTAAATCGTATTAAGAGGTCTTCTCTTTTTATTTCCTGTAGACTGACTGTAAAAACCATTAAAAAAAGCCCTGCTTCCTGCCCTTCCCTGGAATTCAGAAATCACGTCTATGAAGTGTGTGAAGAGGCCTGGAAAATTAGGTCAGATAAATAGGTTGGCAACTGTCACATTATTTAAAAGAGGCAGCGTCTAAATCCAACCCTTTTGACACTAGCCAGGGTCTCCAGAGGGATCACCCAGACAGGACTTTAGAGTCAAATAAGAAAGCTTTCTGGCATTTTCTCAAAACAAGGATAACTTTTTTAAGGATCTACATCCACCTCCAACAAGTGTGGAGCTTGAGATCCTCTCATTTCTTGGTCCTCCCAATGAGCCTACTGTCCGAAAGTATGAGAACATAGCAGGTGGGAGAAGGATCCTTTCCTTCCCGCGGTGCTAATGCAATAATAATTCAACGGGAACTAGCCTCCGCAAGGTTTGTAAGGGGCAGAACGAACTTCTCGTTAGGAGAGAAGGGCAGGCACAGGATAAGGACCGAGGACCCGGGGTATCGGCAGGAGGGGCGCTGGGGGTTCCGGACGGGCACGGGATGGGGCAGCACTCAGATGGGTGTAGAGGACAGGAGTCAGGGGTACCGGAGGCAAGGAGGGCTGGCCGGGGGGACGGGGGTGGGGTGGGGCCGGGAGAACGGCCACGTCAGTCCCGGTCCCGCCCGCCGCGTTTCCCCTAGTCCTTCGTTCCCATCCTCCGCTCTAGGCTTTGGCTCTCACCGTTCGTCATGACGGCTGGGCCCAGGCCTGGCTAGGGGGTCCGAAGTCAGCGGTGGTAGAGGCGGAGGCCGGGAAACCCAGCTTCGGCTTGACACTTCCCGATTCGGGCCGTGGCGACGGGTAGGCGCCGTGCTACGCAAGCGCAAGGACAGGGAGGAGAGGGCCGAACGCAATCAGAAGTGGCTAGCAGATTGCCGAGCTAGAGACTTGTGTGTTGGGCGGTGCTTGCGTGCTGACGTATAGGTAAGGAGAGCGCCGTCCTGGAAGCTTCCGGCGGGGCCATAGTAACCGTTATCCTCTGGGCGCCGCTGCTGCGTTAGTGCTGACCTAGGGGCGTAGTCTGACCTGCTCGCTTCGGTGTGTTTGAAAAGATAAAGACTTGAAGCTTTGCCCTTTATTTTGCGCTGTGGCAGCTGCTTTGTGTGTGTGTGTGTCTGTAAGCAGCAGCCCACCTGCTACGGACAGGTCTCCGTCCAGGCTTCCATGTTAGAGAACTTTGGCACCAGGCGTCAAGAAGCAGCCCCTGAAGGACTCCAGGACTGCCCTTGCGGCGCGCCTTTTTCCCCCCTTCTGCATAAACTAGAATTCCCCCCCACTCACACACACACAGTTTTATTGAGCAATAATTGACATACATCACTTCTTACTCCTTAATGAGAATCTGAATAGTTAAGCTGCGTGCGAACTTTCGAAATGAAATAAGGCACATAAAACAAGACCAAGTAGTATATTTCAGATCGGAAAGCACTACGGTGTCGGGAAAACATCCAGATAATTGCCTGTTTGTGTGGACTTTTTTTTTAAATTTTCGGGAGAGTTTCGGTTAACTACTGTATTTAGTTAATACTGGGGTCATTCGGCCACTTTAACCAGGTATTGGCGATATCTGGACAGCGCTTCTCAAAACACTTTCACTAGCTGACGAAAGATATTGTCACTTTAAAGGTGGGGGGTGGAGTGGAGGAGATAAAAACACAGGTTCTATTTTGTAAATTGAAATCCTTAACTGCACACAGCTCCATCTGCTTTATCAGAGTCCGGACGAAGTGAGACTGAGTCCTTAGAGGCTGAAACTGTTGAAGTTACCTACCAGTCTGCAGTGGTTGTCAAGGTGCTGAAGGGACTCTCTGCTCCTCTTGCTGCAGTGCCATCTGCTGGCTGCGGCCTATTTTGTTATGCAGAAGAAATCTACCAGAATACCAAGCCTTTTTTTAGGAGCTGGAGTGGAGTGGCAAGCCAAAAAAGTCTGAGGCAACACCAACTCCTTGTGAAAATACACATAAGTGCAGAAACAAAAAACAAATGGAAGATATATGAGACAAAACCTAAGACAAGGCCAGATACACGCGTGCACCGAGGCACACAGACACATCTCCCTGTCCCAGAGATGCTCAGGGCCATTCAAAAACAAATCAAAACAAAACCCTCTAATTGTCTTAGCCCTTAAACCTTTCATCAACCGTTAACTAAAACAGCATCTCCTCTGGCATCATCACTAGTGACAGCTCCTGCATCAAGGCTGGATAAAGGCCGGAGCTCTTCTAACCAGGTCCTAAACAGATTCATGTTCACTAATTTATACTGACTCATGAAGCTCATCTTCATCTGAAAAAATTCACCTCTTTCTTAAATATTATGGAACTGTACTATCCTCACTGCACCTTACCTAGGTTCTCCTTACCTACATTCTCTTTACGTAGGCTCTTCTTCAACCTAAATATAGATGTTCCTAAGATACCAACACTCTGTTTTTCTTATTGTTAACTCTCCAGTGGTGACCTCTTCTGTTCCATGTTTTCAACTATGCAGAGTTCTTAGTTGATGTCCTACCCAAACTCGAGTCCTATATTTCTGAGAGATGTTCTTCTGACAGCTGTGATATTTAAAGTCAAACTCATTCCCCTCTGACTTCCCAGTTTCTATGATTACTATTCCTTTCTCATTATCACTAAACTTTTAATTTGTAAATTATCTTTCAATTAATTCTTTTTTCACGATCTCATTTCCAATTGCCCCCTTTTAATCTTACAGCCATCACCTTAGGGATTTTACCATTTTGATCTTTTCAGCATCAAGTATGTCCTCACAACACTGAACACTTATATTTGAATAACATTTTGACATTTTCAAAGCAAACACCCCTTGTTATATGATCTTATTTAATCCCCACAACTACCTTATTTCTCCTATTTTAGAGGTAAGCTGAGGTTTAATTTTAAGGACTGCCTTGTATCACACTCAAACAATAATTCTGGTGTTCCAGACTCAGGACTAAAAAATTTTGTTCCAAATCACAACTGCTGTGTTCTGTACAGCAATCACTGCCTGCTGAGTATTTGTGTAATTCCTTACCCTTCTATGCAAGGCCTTCTAGCAGCACTTTCCACTGTTTCCCAATGTGGACTGTGAGCTTCAGGTATGAAGATTATTCTATGTTCTTCAAATGTACTCCTTGCCTTCACATTTTTGCTCATGCCTTTGACTCTTTTGGCAATAACTTTATCTCCTTGTTTTGTGCTAGATGAAAACCACCCCAATTGTTGTTACTTTCTGAAAGATTAAGTCTTTCCTCCTCTGTTACTTTTAGATTTTAAGAATAATCATTACAGTTGAAGAGCTGAGATGAGTGATTAGTTGGCTAATTACTATTTCAAAGGACAGTGTAGACCACAGTATCCTACTGATTAAGCAGTTAATTGTTTACTCTGCTCAGAATTTTCCCTTTTCTATTTCTTTTTCCATGTGTCTTTCTTCCATTTCCTACTTTTTTACTTATATTTATTTCTTTTCTTCTTTCTCCCTCCACCGTATTTTTTCTTTCCTGAGTTTTATAAAGCATTTTCCTTTTTATTGAATAAAGTGACTCACTACACTTTTATTTCAAAATTAATTATGCCAAGAATTTCATATTTTTAAAAGTTGTATCCTGTTTTCTTTCTTTAAAACTGAGTTATAATGATTGCTTCTTTTTAAGGGTTGTTGAAAGATTAAATGAATTACTATTTACAACAATGCCTGACATGATGAGTGCTCTGTAATGCCAGCTAAGACTGTGGGTGTTGCTGTACAGCTGTTTAAAACAATATTCACCAGTGTCTACTGTGTGCTGGGCAGTTTGCTAGATTTTGCAGGAATAATGGCAAAAATGAGTCCCTACTCTTAGGGAACAAACTGTACTGGGGAAGAGATGAATAAGTACATTTTAATAGAGAACAGTCATTGTGTATGTAAAGACATTATCTTCAATCTTCACAACTTTTACAGAATTTTGTTTAAATGAAAAATCTGAGACTCAAAGAAGGGACATGGATGAGATCACATAGCTAGTTAGTTAGAATCCAAGCTCAGGTCTCCCTGACTTCAGAGCTTCCTTCCCCTTGTATGACACTGCCTCCGATTAGGATGTTTTTCACTGATACATATCTTGGATGGGTCTAATCCAAGCATTAGTGTTTCCATCACCCTGGGAAGACCCTAGTCTCACACCAGCCCAAAGCCTGGGTCACTGCAGGGAATAAATGGAGCACCACTGACTGGGAACTCAATTCCGACAGTCCTTCCTCAGTTCATTTCAGCCTCCACTGGAAGACTGGCAGTTGCTGCCAAATGCCTGTCAGTCAATAACAGTGGCCTGTTTGTTAGGGTTGTTGTGATCACTGTGGAGAACACTAATCAGTCATGGGGACCATGACTATGGCTATCCTGATGAGGGGCTGAAGAACAGAACAGGTGACAGGCTTTTTCAGCAGGAGGTGTGTAATCTTATCACTGAGGAGTGTAATTTCTCTGGACATTATACGCTCTCTGCTGAGGATTAATTTCCACACAGACCAAAGGAAGTTGGCTCTGGAGTCCTCTGAAGCATAAATGTTTGTACTGTGAGTAAATTTCCCACATACAGTAGGGGCAGATGCTGTGGTGTCATCCTGGGGATGTGGATGACTTTAGCTGAATTCTCCTACGCTGGGCCCAGGCCCCCTACAGGCTCTTCACCCTCGTCCCCTGGGCTGAAAGTTGATGAGATGGATGCTTTGGAATTCATTTTATAAACAGGACATAAAAGGCCATTACAACGCAGGCGATTGCCACAGCAGCGTGCAGTCTGGTTCCAATCACAGCAGCTAGCAGGCAAAAGTAAAAAGAGAAAAGACATCACACTCTGCCCTTCACATAAGTCCTCATTTTCAAGGTAATATTTTGAACTCTCCAGTCATGATGAAGAGACCTACCAAGGGTCTCAAGAGCCCAGCTGGGTATGTACTTAAACACTACTTAGCCTCTAGGCTTCAAGTGAATATGCTGCCTGTTTATATTTTGCCCTATTTTGAAAAATATTAGATGGGTAGGATTCTAGATGAAGGTGCCCAAAATAAAAAGTAAAGAAGCATCTCAGTTAATGAAATCAAAACTTAAAAGAGACTCCAATATATTCTTTCCACAGTTTCAGTAAAACTTTTCACTGGGAAAATTTTCCTCTCAACAATTCCAATCCAGTCTAATATTGTTTATATACTTTTCTCCCATGGAAAATACCCTGATATTAAAGTAAACAATTCTGTAAAAGTGGAACCAAAATCAATCTCAGCCTATTCCACTTCTGACTTTGTAGCACCTAAATGTCCAAAGATGCCAATCTCCTCTCCCTGTCTGGATATAATCTTACCTTTGTAAAACACACCCCAAACTCCCTTTTTCTCTGATAGCAGCCAGGTTTTGAGACGAGGTACTTTCTTGAAGTAGGCACAGGTGCAGACAAAGAGCAAACCAAACACCAGAATCCCATCCAAGGAGTACACTGTTACAGGAAGAAAAGAAAACCTTTGGTGTTAATCTAGCCTGGGACAGGTGATCACACTTGAGAATTTCAAGGTGAACAGAATGTGATACAGTATTAAGATAACTTCAACTGTCCTGTTGTCAACCCTTGGCAAGTCATGGTCCTGAGACCAACAAGCTTGCCTTCTTGTTTCCCCAAATTGCTTGTAGACATTCCCCCTTACAATTTTACTGAGCCTTTCCCTCCCCTTTCAAGAATTACAAATCCTAAGAACAGTACATCAGTTTATGTGGGTTTAGCCTCTCAGGAATGGCCAATGTTGGCAACAGGTTGAGACAGGCCTAAGAATCGTTGGCGTATGAGCAGAGATTTTTATTATAAATCACTTGTGTGATAAAGGAGAGCTAGATATTTAGCCAAATCTCACAGATCTGCATCTGTTGGTGAAGAGTACGTTCAGGCAAGAAGTAAAGCTTTATGGAAATTGCAAGAGTTGGAATCCATATGACTACAGCTTTCCTGTGTTTATCTTACACTTCATGCATGATTACGCACAAACCAAATTTCTGGCACAATAACAACAGATTCTTGAAGGGAAAAAATTATCTGAGTTTTCAATATAGTACAACAGTTGTGGGTAAAAAACTTTGAACAATCAGGTCTATTTCTTACATATGTAAACCAAGCTATTTCTTGTACAGGTAAGTACAATGAATCACTTAAATGCAACAAAAAGAAAGCAGACCACAAAAGGAGGGAGGGTGACTAAAATTTATCCAGTAATTATTGCCAGACTGCTTTTTATTTCCTGGTTCCGACCTTTTCTTTCTTTGCATGATGTCCCTTCTGGTACTGTGCCTAATAAGCTCGGACCTCTGATGGCCCAGGAAGCTCCAAAAGTATATTTTAGATAATCAGCATCTACCTGTTCTGGACCACTCTGTCACCCTCTCCCTGCCTCTAGTAAAACTCTCTCACAGCTAGGTGTCACATAAAGGATCCAATAAATTAATAATACAGACACCAAGTTTTTATGATGAACCATCCCTTTATGTGAGTCTTTTTCTCCCATAAGTTTTTGCAGACAATGCCAAAATTTAGAGGCGAAATTTGAGTCTTCAGTGCCATGTTTATGGAGGTGTTTTTGAGAAATACTTTCGTGTACCCCTTAAATCGTATTAAGAGGTCTTCTCTTTTTATTTCCTGTAGACTGACTGTAAAAACCATTAAAAAAAGCCCTGCTTCCTGCCCTTCCCTGGAATTCAGAAATCACGTCTATGAAGTGTGTGAAGAGGCCTGGAAAATTAGGTCAGATAAATAGGTTGGCAACTGTCACATTATTTAAAAGAGGCAGCGTCTAAATCCAACCCTTTTGACACTAGCCAGGGTCTCCAGAGGGATCACCCAGACAGGACTTTAGAGTCAAATAAGAAAGCTTTCTGGCATTTTCTCAAAACAAGGATAACTTTTTTAAGGATCTACATCCACCTCCAACAAGTGTGGAGCTTGAGATCCTCTCATTTCTTGGTCCTCCCAATGAGCCTACTGTCCGAAAGTATGAGAACATAGCAGGTGGGAGAAGGATCCTTTCCTTCCCGCGGTGCTAATGCAATAATAATTCAACGGGAACTAGCCTCCGCAAGGTTTGTAAGGGGCAGAACGAACTTCTCGTTAGGAGAGAAGGGCAGGCACAGGATAAGGACCGAGGACCCGGGGTATCGGCAGGAGGGGCGCTGGGGGTTCCGGACGGGCACGGGATGGGGCAGCACTCAGATGGGTGTAGAGGACAGGAGTCAGGGGTACCGGAGGCAAGGAGGGCTGGCCGGGGGGACGGGGGTGGGGTGGGGCCGGGAGAACGGCCACGTCAGTCCCGGTCCCGCCCGCCGCGTTTCCCCTAGTCCTTCGTTCCCATCCTCCGCTCTAGGCTTTGGCTCTCACCGTTCGTCATGACGGCTGGGCCCAGGCCTGGCTAGGGGGTCCGAAGTCAGCGGTGGTAGAGGCGGAGGCCGGGAAACCCAGCTTCGGCTTGACACTTCCCGATTCGGGCCGTGGCGACGGGTAGGCGCCGTGCTACGCAAGCGCAAGGACAGGGAGGAGAGGGCCGAACGCAATCAGAAGTGGCTAGCAGATTGCCGAGCTAGAGACTTGTGTGTTGGGCGGTGCTTGCGTGCTGACGTATAGGTAAGGAGAGCGCCGTCCTGGAAGCTTCCGGCGGGGCCATAGTAACCGTTATCCTCTGGGCGCCGCTGCTGCGTTAGTGCTGACCTAGGGGCGTAGTCTGACCTGCTCGCTTCGGTGTGTTTGAAAAGATAAAGACTTGAAGCTTTGCCCTTTATTTTGCGCTGTGGCAGCTGCTTTGTGTGTGTGTGTGTCTGTAAGCAGCAGCCCACCTGCTACGGACAGGTCTCCGTCCAGGCTTCCATGTTAGAGAACTTTGGCACCAGGCGTCAAGAAGCAGCCCCTGAAGGACTCCAGGACTGCCCTTGCGGCGCGCCTTTTTCCCCCCTTCTGCATAAACTAGAATTCCCCCCCACTCACACACACACAGTTTTATTGAGCAATAATTGACATACATCACTTCTTACTCCTTAATGAGAATCTGAATAGTTAAGCTGCGTGCGAACTTTCGAAATGAAATAAGGCACATAAAACAAGACCAAGTAGTATATTTCAGATCGGAAAGCACTACGGTGTCGGGAAAACATCCAGATAATTGCCTGTTTGTGTGGACTTTTTTTTTAAATTTTCGGGAGAGTTTCGGTTAACTACTGTATTTAGTTAATACTGGGGTCATTCGGCCACTTTAACCAGGTATTGGCGATATCTGGACAGCGCTTCTCAAAACACTTTCACTAGCTGACGAAAGATATTGTCACTTTAAAGGTGGGGGGTGGAGTGGAGGAGATAAAAACACAGGTTCTATTTTGTAAATTGAAATCCTTAACTGCACACAGCTCCATCTGCTTTATCAGAGTCCGGACGAAGTGAGACTGAGTCCTTAGAGGCTGAAACTGTTGAAGTTACCTACCAGTCTGCAGTGGTTGTCAAGGTGCTGAAGGGACTCTCTGCTCCTCTTGCTGCAGTGCCATCTGCTGGCTGCGGCCTATTTTGTTATGCAGAAGAAATCTACCAGAATACCAAGCCTTTTTTTAGGAGCTGGAGTGGAGTGGCAAGCCAAAAAAGTCTGAGGCAACACCAACTCCTTGTGAAAATACACATAAGTGCAGAAACAAAAAACAAATGGAAGATATATGAGACAAAACCTAAGACAAGGCCAGATACACGCGTGCACCGAGGCACACAGACACATCTCCCTGTCCCAGAGATGCTCAGGGCCATTCAAAAACAAATCAAAACAAAACCCTCTAATTGTCTTAGCCCTTAAACCTTTCATCAACCGTTAACTAAAACAGCATCTCCTCTGGCATCATCACTAGTGACAGCTCCTGCATCAAGGCTGGATAAAGGCCGGAGCTCTTCTAACCAGGTCCTAAACAGATTCATGTTCACTAATTTATACTGACTCATGAAGCTCATCTTCATCTGAAAAAATTCACCTCTTTCTTAAATATTATGGAACTGTACTATCCTCACTGCACCTTACCTAGGTTCTCCTTACCTACATTCTCTTTACGTAGGCTCTTCTTCAACCTAAATATAGATGTTCCTAAGATACCAACACTCTGTTTTTCTTATTGTTAACTCTCCAGTGGTGACCTCTTCTGTTCCATGTTTTCAACTATGCAGAGTTCTTAGTTGATGTCCTACCCAAACTCGAGTCCTATATTTCTGAGAGATGTTCTTCTGACAGCTGTGATATTTAAAGTCAAACTCATTCCCCTCTGACTTCCCAGTTTCTATGATTACTATTCCTTTCTCATTATCACTAAACTTTTAATTTGTAAATTATCTTTCAATTAATTCTTTTTTCACGATCTCATTTCCAATTGCCCCCTTTTAATCTTACAGCCATCACCTTAGGGATTTTACCATTTTGATCTTTTCAGCATCAAGTATGTCCTCACAACACTGAACACTTATATTTGAATAACATTTTGACATTTTCAAAGCAAACACCCCTTGTTATATGATCTTATTTAATCCCCACAACTACCTTATTTCTCCTATTTTAGAGGTAAGCTGAGGTTTAATTTTAAGGACTGCCTTGTATCACACTCAAACAATAATTCTGGTGTTCCAGACTCAGGACTAAAAAATTTTGTTCCAAATCACAACTGCTGTGTTCTGTACAGCAATCACTGCCTGCTGAGTATTTGTGTAATTCCTTACCCTTCTATGCAAGGCCTTCTAGCAGCACTTTCCACTGTTTCCCAATGTGGACTGTGAGCTTCAGGTATGAAGATTATTCTATGTTCTTCAAATGTACTCCTTGCCTTCACATTTTTGCTCATGCCTTTGACTCTTTTGGCAATAACTTTATCTCCTTGTTTTGTGCTAGATGAAAACCACCCCAATTGTTGTTACTTTCTGAAAGATTAAGTCTTTCCTCCTCTGTTACTTTTAGATTTTAAGAATAATCATTACAGTTGAAGAGCTGAGATGAGTGATTAGTTGGCTAATTACTATTTCAAAGGACAGTGTAGACCACAGTATCCTACTGATTAAGCAGTTAATTGTTTACTCTGCTCAGAATTTTCCCTTTTCTATTTCTTTTTCCATGTGTCTTTCTTCCATTTCCTACTTTTTTACTTATATTTATTTCTTTTCTTCTTTCTCCCTCCACCGTATTTTTTCTTTCCTGAGTTTTATAAAGCATTTTCCTTTTTATTGAATAAAGTGACTCACTACACTTTTATTTCAAAATTAATTATGCCAAGAATTTCATATTTTTAAAAGTTGTATCCTGTTTTCTTTCTTTAAAACTGAGTTATAATGATTGCTTCTTTTTAAGGGTTGTTGAAAGATTAAATGAATTACTATTTACAACAATGCCTGACATGATGAGTGCTCTGTAATGCCAGCTAAGACTGTGGGTGTTGCTGTACAGCTGTTTAAAACAATATTCACCAGTGTCTACTGTGTGCTGGGCAGTTTGCTAGATTTTGCAGGAATAATGGCAAAAATGAGTCCCTACTCTTAGGGAACAAACTGTACTGGGGAAGAGATGAATAAGTACATTTTAATAGAGAACAGTCATTGTGTATGTAAAGACATTATCTTCAATCTTCACAACTTTTACAGAATTTTGTTTAAATGAAAAATCTGAGACTCAAAGAAGGGACATGGATGAGATCACATAGCTAGTTAGTTAGAATCCAAGCTCAGGTCTCCCTGACTTCAGAGCTTCCTTCCCCTTGTATGACACTGCCTCCGATTAGGATGTTTTTCACTGATACATATCTTGGATGGGTCTAATCCAAGCATTAGTGTTTCCATCACCCTGGGAAGACCCTAGTCTCACACCAGCCCAAAGCCTGGGTCACTGCAGGGAATAAATGGAGCACCACTGACTGGGAACTCAATTCCGACAGTCCTTCCTCAGTTCATTTCAGCCTCCACTGGAAGACTGGCAGTTGCTGCCAAATGCCTGTCAGTCAATAACAGTGGCCTGTTTGTTAGGGTTGTTGTGATCACTGTGGAGAACACTAATCAGTCATGGGGACCATGACTATGGCATTCTGGTTTAACCAAAGAGTAAGTTCAGTCCCAAAGGCACAGCTTGCAACAATAGCTTCATTTGAATTACAATGTATTTGAAAAGGGATATCAAACAGGCATTAATTTATGCTACAAATATTTCTTTCAGGACTTCTAAGTGTAAGGAATGTGCTAGCCTTTGGGAGCTCAAAGATAAATGAGAAGCAGACTCTATTTTTAATAACTTTAAGATTTAGTAGACAAGATAAGCTGTGTGTTTAAATAACCAGAACACAGTAGAGAGTTAGAAGTGTAGAAGGAAAGTGAAAACTCGGTGCTGTGGGAGTGTAAAGGAGAAAGCGCTTTCAGCTGGAGAGTTCAGGGAAGGCTTTGTGGAGGAGCAGACATTTTAGGTGGGTCTGAGAGGCATGTAGCATTTCAATAGAAAAGAAAGGTATGCTTGTGGGAAAGAGTAGTGGTGAAAGGCATGGAGATGAGAAAGTACAAGATAAGTTTATATAAATAAGCACACTCTTCTCTTCCCCCTTCACCAACTAGCTCCATTCATCTCTCAGGTCTCTGCTCAAACCTCACTTGCTCAAGAGAGGCATCTCTGACCTTCTTGGGTCACCTTCCACCATCATAAGCTTCCAGAGCTTGCAATAGCTATTTAATTCATGTCCCCTGCTACTTTGTAAGGTTCATGAGCCCAGGACTGTTTTTGTATTGTTTGTCATTTTATCCACAGTCCCATAGTACATGCTGAACATTTTACAGGTGCTTGATAAATATTTGTTGCATGAATAATTTTACATGGCCCTGTGGAACTGGAACATAGAGTTCATAAAGGAGAACAGAAGATAATACTGAAAGGTAGGTTCTTGAAAAACAGTTGACACATATGGAATGTTTGCTACATGCCAGGTACTACCCAAAGCTCCTTTAGTATTAATACATTCAAGCTTCAAAAGAACCTTAAAAGACTTGAAACTATTATTCCCATCTCACAGATGAGGAAATGGATGTACTGAGAGGTCAAGTATACTGTCTCAAAGTGACCTAGCTGGTAAGTAGTACAGCTGGGATTTCAAACCCAACTCATCTGACTTCAGAGTCTGCATGTTTAACCAAAGAATAAGGGCATTATTTGGTAAACAAGCAGATGGCTGAGACTGCATAAGATTCTTGTGGAAGTTCTGAAAGTCAATTTTATTGTGAAGTCTGATGATAGCCTGATGGGTTTTCCTTTGTAGGTGACCTTTTTTCTCTCTCTGGCTGCCTTTAATACTCTGTCCTTGTCTTTGATCTTTGCCATTTAAATTATTACATGTCTTGGTGTTGTCCTCCTTGGGTCCCTTGTGTTGGGAGATCTGTGGGCTTCCATGGTCTGAGAGACTATTTCCTCCCTCAGTTTGGGGAAGTTTTCAGCAATTATTTCTTCAAAGACACTTTCTATCCCTTTTTCTCTCTCTTCTTCTTCTGGTACCCCTATAA